TACTGAGTCTGTCCAGCTCCCTGAGGCGCTGCTGAAGCTCAACTTCATAATCATCAGAAAGTTGCAATGAGCGAGTCCTTCTGCCGTTCTCTCCAAAGCAACTTAAGCAGTGTCTGACCGGTCAGTGGTGTTCTTGTTTCTGACTGTGCAATGGCAATATAAGAGGCAAACTGGCTCGCTGTGCCGACCTGATGGTAACGTTAGGCTGCAAGAGTCGGACTGAATGTTTGTTCTGGTGTTTAACTTTGTCCAACACTCTCAGGTAAACGCATGAGGATGTGGTCGCATGCTAATACCAACAGGCCTAATAGGAACCTGTATGTGTGTGTACCTTTTTTTATTTTGCAAATCTTTCTAATGACCATCATTCTATTCAGTTGTAATGAAAAGCAACATATCAAATTAGGTAAAAGTCAATTTTTGCTTTAAAAAAACAAAGCGTTGAAGCAGTCAGAGACGGCAGCTTGTTCAGGTCTCCAAGCTGAACAAGTCGTGGCTGTTCTGCTCCCAGCGGAGCTTGTGGGCCTGTTATAATGCTAAAAATGTTTTCGCTTTGTTATTATTATTATTCTCCGGTAAAATGTCCAGAAGATGCTGGAAATATCCAGATACTGCAGTCTGGTAGAATATTTTTATCAGTTCGGATGTAAAAGAAAAAAAATCTGATTTTGCAAAAGTTATGGGGAAATAAAGCAATGAAAATGTGTTTTGGCTAATAACAGCATCCAGCATGTCTGAGGACAAAGTTACAGTAAGAGGCAAATCTTTATCAAAAGAAGCAAAAAAAACGCCGCACCATTAGCATAGCTGCAGTGAACCATGTTCAGAAATGATCTGAATGATGACAGACGTTTTTTTTTATAGCAATTTATTTGACAGGGTGAGCAATAATCACACTTTTAATGCTAAATTGCTCCAAAGGTTGCCATGAAAGTCCATCAAAAGTGCTGACTTTGCATTAAAGTGTCATTATTTACAAAAACAATGAAAGTTGGCACTTTTAATGGCATTTAATGCAACTTTCAAAGCAACTTTGCATTAAAAGTGTCATTATTTACCCAATGACACTTTGTGACAACAGTCATAGACATTCATAAAGACTCATTGATGTTCATGACAGGTGTTCTGTCAGTCCTATGCACCGCCCGTCACATAAAGGGTTACCGTCGTTTTTACTTTTCTTTTTGTCCCTTCATCATCCCAGAGTGGAGACGTTCTCTGCTCAGCTCAGTCTGACAGCACAGCTACAGTGTCAGAGTGAAGCTTCCATTCAGCCACAAAGAGCTTTCAAAAGGGCTGATAGATGATGTGACAGATGACAAAATGTGCAGACAGACTCTTGTTGTGCGTGGCGATTGCAGATAATGTGACTCCGGCTTTCAAGAGCGATTACATCCACCATGTGAACTCAGCTGTAGAGAACACGTAATGGGAACGACACCGAGCCCTCCACCCTGTCCTGGTCCGCCGTTTCTCAGAGTGGATCCGTCTTTATCTTGAGGATAAATGAAGACGTTTTCGAACGCCTAGAGAGTAACTTTGCTTCACTTTTTCTTAGATGCAATCCACACTTCCTGTTTGGTTCAATGTTCCTGCTGCTGAGCTCGAAACACGTTGTGGAAAGAAAAGTGCAAATAAAAATGTTCTTCATAAAATGATGAAAAGTACAGAAGACTGAGCCTCCTCTTCATAAGTGTTATAGAACAACAGAGTGTCTTAAGTCAGAGGCTTCAGATCTGCTCTGACACAAGCTTCCTGCCAACAGCATCGACAACACATCTTCAAACAGATAAAGAAAAACAAAATTACATCACCAACCAGCTCAAAATTGTAGCATAGTTGATTGGCATCAATTTTTAGTCAATCAAGTTTATTTCTATAGCAACAAGGCAGTTCAAAATGCTTTACGTCATAAACACATCATACAGTCACCGACTGTGAGACCAGAGTAACCGATACTGTATTTTGTTAAATCATTAAAATCATCAATACACATCAAATATTTTTTGCAATGTTCCAGTTATTCTGAATCAAAGGCAGCTCTGAACAGCTGGGGCTTCTCGTCTCGATGTGAGGGAACTCAGTGTTTCGACTGTTTTTCAGTTTTCTGGAAGTTCGTTTCTAGATTTGTGGCGCATAGAAACTCAATGCTGCTTCTCTGGGGATGCAGAGCAAACCAGAACCAGAGGACCTGAGAGGTTCTGGAAGGTTGATTCAACAACAACAACAACAACAACAACAACAACAACAACAACAACAACAACAACAACAACAGAAGGGCTGTAATGTACTTTGTTGCTCATGTTTGCCAAATCAAACTAAAATTTGAGGCTACAGATGGTAAAACATTTAGAGCTGTTTGGGAGCCAAAAGTCCCAGCTGAACCAACAGCCCTGACTCTGAAAAGAGCCAAATTTCACATCAATAAATATGCGTTTGTTTTTGTCTCCATAGCAACATCTTTAAATCCAGCTAGCAGCTCACTTCCTTCTGTCCAGATGTCAAAGATGAAAGTCTAGTGGGAAATATCCGGATGCAGCGTATTACCATGGAGACTGAACAAAACTGATCATAAGTCATTTTTCTTCTTCTTGGAAGCACAAAATTCTCTGTTCCATCATATTCTCCAGAAAAAAGAAATGTGTGCTTTTGTTTCATAGAATAATTTCGTACACACTCCTGCTGGCGGATCACAGCCAAATCTTAAGTAGAACTTCAAAATGCCTAAAGAAGAAACATAAGCAAGAGGCAAAAAATGTAAGAACATTTCTGAAAACAACACATAAGTCAAAAGTTTAAATCTATGTCCATAAAAAGGCTAAATTGTTTTCTGTCAGACTTTCACACTGGCTATGTTTCCACTACAAATGTGTTTAAAACTTTGTCATTATCCCAGTAATTTTCAAAAACACAAATTTGCAATTGTGGGGTTTCCTTTAAGTAAAAAAAACTAAATCAAAATCACACTGGATTAAGTTTGTTCAAGTCATTAAAAACATGCCATGGTTTCATCCTCCAACTACTTCCTGTTGTCGTCTTCTTCGTGGTTTGTGTCAGTGGGAACATCCGGTTGCTGATCATGTGACTTATGAGATGCAATAAAAGTGTTTGGTAAAATAAACCAATGTTGATGTGACTGAAAAACCACCTCCTCGTAGCACTAAAGTGCTTTAGTGAAAAACAACCTTTTTCTGAAATTGCCACTCTGCAAATTTCTTTTCAAAATGTCAAATTGTGCAATTTTCTAATCGGTGAAGACTAAGCTGTGATGGTCATCTGGTGGCAAAACAAAAAGGCTCTGTGGTTTTGCGCAGAAGGAGCCGATGGGATCCAGTGTTTACTGCGTATCTGAACATCAGCAGCATCAAACTAACCTCCTGTTCTTTAATGATAATCATGTAACAGTAAGGAAAACGCTGCTTTAGTGAGGAGAGAAGGGCATGCAGATGGCCTTCGGGGAGCTTAATGAGGCTGTGCTTCACCCTCAGGAAATTATGAAGCAAAAAAAAAAAAAGTATTTTATTAATGCAGCATTAAAAATTGATAAATGTTCATTAGTTTCTCTGGTAACTTTCATCCACTTTGTATGCATTGAGCGGATTTCATTTCCGCCAAGAAGATGAATTAACGGTTTGATGCAACGAGGGCTTAATTTGCATTCACAGATGGCTGAATTAGGGCCAGCATTAAGAATCTGCAGATCAGGACAAAGAGATAATCAGAACCGGCCACTGGGTGCTTGGTGAGGCATCCCAAAAGATCCATGCTCTGTTTTCACAATTTACATAAAGGGGAGTGAGCAATGAACAGCTTTACATTTATTCAGCTCTTCAAACGAAAGACTTCACCCATCAAAAAGCTTTGATCACAAAGACCAGCTTCCACAACTGGAAGTTATGCCTGGAAATTGCATGGCAGCAGTTTATCACTCCCTGCGGCTTTCGCTGCCGTTCCTGAAAACTGGACATTTTTAAGGCTGGTTTTCACAGAAAACCCTCTCAGGTTCTAATCTTGGGATTTTTTGTGCGACTTTATATCTTTTCTATTACAGATAATGGGGATCAGTGGGGAGGCTCCACTGGCTCTGCTGGTGACCCTTTGATAACCCGCCTCCTCAGACTGTGAAACATGGATCAGAAACACAGTGGAGCGCTCTGTTCTGGTCCAAGGGTGAAAGTGATGCACATGTTGGAATTGATCAAATATTCATGCTTTGTTTTTTTTTATCAGTCTAACCATCTGAAATATGCATGTGCTACTCTAAAGGGTTCCCCTCGCTGTTGTTTGGAGCCGACCTCAACATGTAGCCAAAGTTAGAGAGGGACCTTAAAAAAAGTATAAATACATATTTTTATGTCAGTATTTTGCTTTCTATATATAAAAGCAGCATTATTAAGATCATAATGACAGTGATTTCTTACTTAAGATATTTTAAAGATCTATTATGCTTCTGACAAAACATGTATTTTTTGTGCATAGTCATTGTTGGATGATGATATTTAATTTTGGTCATTTCTGTCAATTTTCAGCTCCTATCAGAATGAGCTGTTTTATGGCTTCTTGGCTCTTTCAATCCAAAAGAGCTGCTGCTGGCCACCCCCCCACCACTCCCCCCCAACTCACAACGTTTACACCCGCATGAGAAAACAGCTACAAACAAATGAGCAATTATGCAACTGTATGTCTTTGAAAAGCGTAAGTGGAGCCTCCTGCACAAGAATGCAGCAAGTGAATGTTGTGTAACAGGTCCCCTTTCTTGATCACCTATAAACATAATTAGTGTATAAATTATTGTGATTATAATAGTGATTTTGAACTGGATATGAACTTTGTAATGTGTGATTATTACCAGTGTAAATGAAGTATAACTGTTGCAGTGGTACTAAATTATAAAAATAACTTATTGCGCTTCTTAATATTCTGAAAAAAATAAATAAAAATCCATACTTTTTGCCATATTCTTTATCAAAAAACTATAAATAACTGCAAATGACTCAGAATGAATGTTGTTGCAGGTGTTTTTTATTCTTTTCTCAGACAAAAACAAAACACAAACACAAAGGGAGGCGGGGCTTATGATTCCTGGGTGACCTGTGAAAAACACAACATGTCTGATCAACACAGTTATCATTGCTAGATGAGCAAAGCAGATCATCCACGTCCTTTTTTCCCCCCACCTCTACCTCGCAAAAACAAATTCCACGTGCAAATCTTGATGGTCATATTAAAATCAGTCCTAAAGTCCTCGCTGTTGGGATCTCTTGCAGCAGCTGTGACATCAGCCAGCAGTTCCTCAGCTGTTCGCTCCGAGTCCCGACCTCCACAAAACAGTCCAGCTCTGTGTTCAAGTGATTCCAGACGTCAAAACTCAGAGAGGTCTGTTCGGAAAAAGCACTTTGTATGACAACAGTCGAAGCTACGTTTTGATCAGCACTGAAACTGACAGTGAATAACACGACATTCACTGTAAACAGATAGCAATAATATCCTAAACAGACCCACGACATCAGTGCATTTATCAGTTATAGTTCTCTTAAAACCCTCATTATTCAAATACTGGCTTTAATATGTCTATTAACATGTCATCTGAGAAAGAAAAGTGCTACATAAGTTTAGGATTTTATATATATGTATATATTTGTGTGTGCGCATTTTATAACTAAACTTTCCATACGGGAATCCACAACAATATTATCTTACAAAGCCATGACGGTTATGGTTCAGTCCTTTCCACATACACATTGTGAAAAGCTTTAAAGGTGAGAGGTTTCAGTACAAATGACTTTTTCCTGTTTCTCTCTCTCAGCAGCGTTTATGAGCCTAAAGCAAACAGGTGCTCCTCCCTGAGACGAACACTATTCACATGTCCAAATCTGCAGCACTGACTGCGTTTCACCACCATTATTTACTTTGCTTTAAAAAGCAAAACAAATCCCCCCAGTGGTAGACATCATATGAAATACTTTAAAAGGAATTGAAGCGACCAAGTTCATCATTTATCTCGGTTGAGATGCACCGATCTGATATTAATCATTACCAGGCTTTGGGTGTGAGCCGAAGGGAAAATTAAACCGAAAAGCCAAAAGCAGAGTCTGTTGCTGCCGCCAAGGTTTCAAAACACCAGAGACTCATAATGTAATATTTCATCGGACAGATAGTTGTTCTGTGATTTTAATACAGGAAACGCTCAAATGAGGCACTTCCTGTATTTCTCGGACAGATTTAATGCAGGGCGTCAAAAATCGGATTGGTGTATCTTTACTGTGACAAAAATCTCATTGTCACCAGAGGCTTTAAAGGGGCAGAGTTACGTAATAGGAACTTTTGTAAGCTTTACTTCATGTTAATGTTATTTTCTTACAAAAACATACCTGGAGTGGTTGCCTTTATTATTTTGTGCATGTTTGAGAAATCCTTTAATCTCCATTCAGCTGTGCAAAACGCCTGGATGGACCGAGCTCCGCATTTGAGATGAAGCTCCTCCTCCAAGCTTCCAAGGGAAGTAGGGTGGCATAAGGGCAGAGCTTTGGGTAAATACTGAGCGCATCAAATGAGGTGTTGAGGCGTCCCCACATGGTTGCCACGGGAGATTCGAAGATTTCTCAAACATGCAGAAACGAGTTATGCAACACTCCTGGAATGACATTAAAACACGATATAAAGCTGAAAAACTGTAAATATTTTATAATCCTCCACATTTAAATTCATATTTCAATCTATTTCTTACTCCATTTGTTTTGGTTTATTGATCATTTTTCTCCTTTTTGCATTTCAAAGCTCTGCTTGCAACCAGCAAAGTGGAGACGTTCGTTTCTCTTTCAGGGTGTTGGGATTCTGATCGAGTGGTTAATATTCTCACTTTGTTCACCTTTGTGTAAAAGTTGTTGTAAATCTGGAATCGTCCCTCAAAGCTCCAACATTTTGTGGATTCTTCGTTTAGCAGATTGAGCCACCGACAAACTAAAGCAGCAAAACAAAAGAACAGATGCTGGGATTTATAATGATACTAAACGCCTCGCAAAGAAACGCTATTTCCGCTCAGCATAGTAAACAGACAGACACACGTTACAAAATAGTAAGAGTTGGAGCAGTGTTATTATTGCTATCAACCTATCTCAAGCTGCAAAAGGGTTTAGGGCTACGACAAGAAAGCACTGTATCCAATAAAAGTTTTTCTGTGTGGGAAAAAAAAAGAAAAAAAGACAGCAGTGGTGAAGCCATATTTTTATATCGAATGTATAATTAAAAACGTTCAATTTCTTTCAAGTAGAAGCAAACAAACCCTCATTTCTTCAGTTCAAAGTTCAGCATAAAGTATTCGGTATTCTACTAAAAAAAAGTAGAGCTTTGTCCATGCATTCTGGAAAAGCTGTTGAGCATAAAATCCATAAGATGCTTTCTGAAAGACTGAAAGAAAAGTAAACAAACGAACAGTTTCCATCGGGGCGCCGGAGCTCAGCCTGGTGATGCGGACGGAAGCTGAAGCTCTTCCTTTTGTTTTGATAAAGGAGATGGTCATGCGAAAGTTGTTCCAAATAATAATAATAATAATAATAATAAAAACTTCTTTGTAGCTCCTCTTGGTCTGGGCAGCAGAAATACTCAGAGCGAGAAGAAAGAGAGAGAAAAGACAAATAAAAAAAAACCTGAAATGATGATAAGGCGACTGAATGAGCAGGACAGAGGCAGAGAAAGCAGGGCAAGCTGACCACAGCTTGTCTGACATCAATCCAGGAGTTGGTGTTTTCATCAGCGTCCCACGCTCACTGGACACATATCTGATTCTTCAGACTGTCGGAGAAAAACAGACAGAGACAAATGCCTCGTTATCATCACAGCTACGTGGCGCACAGACACGGTTTGATACGTTTGCACTTTGTAAAAGATATGAACAGAAACGCTTCAATCAAACAATCAAATTTGATTTGTATATCACATTTCAGCAACAAGGCATTTCAAAGTGCTTTAAATCATAAACACAAAGTCATGCATCATGGAATAAACAATACATTGTTACATATTACATTTCAAAATAAAGTTCTAAACAGGTGTGTTTTTAGTTGCGATTTAAAGGAAGTCAGGGTTTCTGCTGTTTTACAGTTTTCTGGAAGTTTGTTCCAAATTTTTGGTGCATAGATGCTGAAAGCTGCTTCTCCTCTCTTGGTTCTGGTTCTGGGGATGCAGAGCAGAACCAGAACCAGAACCTGAGAGTCTGGAAGGTTGATACAACAACAGCAGAGCTTTGATGTATTGTGGTGCTGAACCGTTCAGTGATTTGAAACTAACAACAGTATTTTAAAATCTATTCTTTGAGCTACAGGGAGCCAGTGGAGGGACTTTAAAACTGCTGTTATGTCTCTTATCTTCCTGGTTCAATTTAACTGATCGTTGCAATATCTTCATGAGAGACAGATGCAATGCATTCTGGGAGACATGTTGTTCTCTGTCCACCTGGATTGTCTCTGCAGCTGCTGTATTTCACAGTGAAGCTCTGTGTGTGTTTGAATCTGAGCCCCTCAAATCTGATGACATTAGGTTTGCTGTAAACATGCAATTTATGTTGTTTCTTTTCTTCCCTGGCAGAAAAAAATTGATTGTCTGATTATTAGACTGAATCTTGCCAGTCTTTCCCACTGCTACCCAAAATATCTATGTGACCCTAAATGAATCAAAACAATAAGTATTAGTAAAACAAACAAACAAAAAATTAAAATAACCAACAAAAAAAATCTTTATTTCTGCTTTGTATCAACACAGATTCAAGACATAAGATGATAACTGGAGATACACCAATATGATATAATACCTGATACTGAAAAAATAAAAACCTTGAACAGATATCAGTGACAATGTGCTGAATCGAAAAGTGCAGATCTATTGAGCCTGGTGGTTTATTATATATTTTACATAATATTTAGAATTCCTAATTTCACTCTGTGAACCATCTGAAAGGTTTGTCGCAGTTTATTTTGACACGTTTGACCAAAATAATGTAAAATGATCTCCTAATTGCACTGAGGGAAGAAAATCCAGTTGTTTTTACATGATCGACCACATTTTTGGAGCTGTGGGTGCATTTCAGTGTGCTGCACTGGTGCAGAGTTATGACATAAATGTGTCAATCAGAACAGTTATGTGTAAGAAACAGAAAGACTTTAAGTCAAAGCAGCTGGTCTTCTGTTCGGGTCGGCCGACATCAAGCCTCAGAAATCGGTGTCATACTCAGAAGTGAAAAAAAGTGGATATTACTCATAAGCATTAATCAAAACACTCAATAACATTAAATAATAATGCAACACATTAAAGCCTGAATTGACATGAGCAACTTCATATGTATGGAGAGGTTCTTCCAGGTTTTATGGGTTAAAAAATTCATGTTACACTGGAAAAGCTTTTTTTTTTTTTACTTTGGGAGTCTAAAAATCTTTGCTGCTGTTTGTTTTCTGCTCCATTAAACTGTCAGCTCCAAAATGTGCATCCTCCCCACGCCGACAGCAGGGCAGGCTTCTAAAGGCGCATGGGGCCGACACACACCTCACATCCAGAGTTGAAGCATTTCAGGATTACACAGATTAAAAAAAGCTAATTTTATAAACTAATGCATCAAATAAAAGCTCCAATTTGTTGTACGAAAATGAGAAAATGTCTCTAAACTTATTCTCATGGTGTAGATTAAGCAGTCGATCAACTGCCACTGGCTCAGAGCAACGACGCAACTTGACTGCCTCAGTCCCCCCGGCCTGCTCCCCCTTTACTCTGCCACTTATGCATTCTTGTGGTGTGTGACAAATTGTGTCAGCATATTATTCTGGTGAGGCGTTTTCATGCATAATTCATCCCGGAGCCTTCATTCTACACGGACGTCTTCAAATCCCTTTGAAGTTAATTCCCTCTTCTTGATAAATGGCCTCGCCCGCTCCAGCTGCGCGCGAGCTGATTGTCGGTGTTGGAAAAGTCACCTGTCCCAAACAATTTCGCTGTACAGCGTGGGAGTGGAGAAAAGATTCACTGAGCAGAGGAGAACAGAAACAAAACAAGGAGAACAGAAGAAAACAAGCAGTCCCACCCAGTTTTTTTCACGAACAACCGAGGAAACCTTCAGGCACTATAGAGAATTTTTTACTTTAAATAATGATTTTTCATGCGATGAAAAATCATTATTTAAAGTAAAAAATTTGCCTGGAAAACACACAGGTGTTTTCCAGGCAAATAGAAAAATTTTATAGCACAATCAAGTGACTATGTTACTTTCAGTTGATATAACAGTCAAATATGACTTCAAAGAAATTTGTCTTCATAATGTAACGTCTTGGAATTGGATCTCTTGTCTCTTTAAAAACCATTGCCCTTTCTGAATCTCCGGCTTCAGAAAGTCATCACAGCATGGTTCCTCTATTAACCCTTTAAAAAAAATTTTTTAGCGGCGTTTCACTGTCACTATCTCTTATTACGAGCACTGAAGATGGGCAGTTACACCAGGTGTTTGCTAACTGCTGCTGGCTAGTCTGAAGGAGCTGAGGTGGGGAGTCAAATTGGAGGACCGCTCTGTGAGATGGAGGTTCAGCAGCTTGGAAACTGCAGCTCTAAGGAGGAGCTTAGTCCTTGAAGGCGGAGCTAGATCCACCCAGGTGTTTTGCACAGCTGAATGTTGCCATGGGAGACTGCAGGATTTCTCAAACATCCATGAAAGAATAAAGGCAACACTTCAAGTTTGTTTTTTGATGAGGCAATAACATTAAAACATGATATTAATCTCAGAGAGGTTTATTTCATATATGATCCGGCTCCTTTAAGCAAATATTTTTATTTTTGGAGGTTCTTTCAAAAGCTGCGTCGGGACAGATTTGGACCCCGAGCCTTGAATTTCCCACATGTGACTTAAGGAATATATCCTGAAAATCTGAGCTTCATAGGACGAACCTTTGCATTTTTATAGTTTTGTTTTTTCAAAAAGTTGGTTCTATTCATAAGCCCCACCTAATTCCATCCATAATTACCAGATTGAATTTTATTTTCTACACCACCTCTGACTATGTTTATCTCTCTAAACTGTACAGCCGTTAACTGCTCATGGGTGTGTGTGTGTGTGTGTTTGTGATAATGCTGATAATCAGCTTGGGGAGGACAGAGAACACTGGAGGTAGTATGCAGACAGATTGTCATAATTTTTATTATTCTGCCTCACTTCCCTCAACCCTCTAATTAATTCCCCTGTACTCAGAAACACAGCTGACCATGGAGCAACCCACCGTCAACATCCAAGTGGGGCAAGACCCTGTAAGTTCACCTCCTTTGTATCTTTTTTTTCGCCTCTCATTCTTCTGCTGAACGTCTCCCTGAGGCCTGCTGCTCGATGAGAGAGCAGCTCTCATTCATTTCATTCTCTCTATTCTTCCCTGGAGGGCAATCGAATATTCACTTTGTTCTCACTCCCTTCCAACTGGATATCATCTATCACCTGTGGACAGGGTCAGATCCCTCCCCACAAGCCTGTCACAATAACAATTGTACTGGACGATAATTTGGCCCAGAACTTATTGTGATAAATGATAATATTGTTATTTTGAGACAATTTTCAAGTAATATCGTAGCAGCTGCTTTGTAACGCAAGAACACATTCTCAAAGATAAACTTTCATTTCTAATAACTATTTAACACTGGAAGTGAAAGACATTTTAAATATCTGAAACAAACAAAACAACAGAAACAACTAATAAAATGAATTTTGAAGTCTCTGTAAACAAAATTATCATTCAATAGAAAGGTCACCAAAGAACCAGACTGAAGATTTTTGTCATCCAGGCTTCGGTAGGAACAGAAAGAGACATGAGAAAAATAATAACTCATGGAAATGGAAATTATTGAGCTTGTCTTGATCAATTATACAATTAAATAATTTGTTACTTATTCTGACAGACCTGCCTGCTCATGCAGAGGACTGCCCCCCCCTGCAAATACAAATCCACAAATCTCTAACCTGTCTCTCTCTCTCTGTGTGTGTGTGTGTGTGTGTACGTGTGTGTGTGTGTACGTGTGTATACGTGCATGCACGTGCGTGCGTGTGTGTGAGTGCCTGTTTATTCTGAGCTGACCTGCGATGGACGTGGGACCTGTCCAGGGTGTGTCCCACCTCTCACTCCATCACTACTACAGTTGGACACCAGGCCCCTCTCCACCTTATAAGGGCTTTGGCAGGATGGATTATTATTCAGGAGTTTTTGGTTAATCTTTGTCACTGATTTCTTTTTTTTATTGAGGTGTCTGGATCTAAGATTTCTGATCTGTTTTTTTGTACTGAAGTAAGACAAAGCTTGTCTTAAGTCAATCATTTTTAAATATTGATATAAAAGTACTGTCAGATTATTTCATTTATAACATGCCTTTTTGCCAGTGACCTTTGGGGGGGCCAGGGGCTCAAAGTTAAAAAAGGGCACACAGTGGGAGCAGACATGTCCGAAAATGTCAGAGCAACATTGTAATTAGGTGATGCATTGATGAACCGAGCAGATATTTGAGACTTACACACTTACATTCTTGCACCAAATCACGTGTCATTTAAAGTGTAAACCAGCGCAATAATTTGTCACTTTTCATCGCCACTGACGCTCTGCCTGAACGCCTGGTCAGGACCCGCAATGAATTTTGGGATATGGTTGGTCGTGAAGGATACGCCGACCCATCCTTCAAACTTGGGGAAAAGAAAGACGCATTTGAAAGATTCAGAGCAAACGTTACAGCTGAGTAAGATTAGTCTTTGGATCTTGGAAGGTTCGCGAAGATAGGTGAAATCG